GCTGCTGTGCCTGCTCTTTGCTGGGCTGAGGCTCTCTTTCCCCGCCCTCCTCCTGCGCAGCCGCTCTGGCTCCAGGTTCTGGGTTGATAGGATCTCGCGGTGCTGCTGCTAGGCTCCTGCTTTGGCGTTCACTTGTGGGGTCATTTAATTATATGCTTCCTCATTGCCTGTGATGTTGACATTTAACCTTGCCTGTCAGTCCTCCCTCTCCCGGCTTGTCTTCAGCTTCCTGCGAGTGGAAACGACACTGATTCTTGGGGTTGTTATGTCTTGCGTGACTTCCGGCGTGAGTGGGTGAAGGAGCCGAATATTGTAAATGGATGAATGAATGAATCGAGCTGCTGAATTTGGCCTACTAAATTCTACTAGCCTTACCCTTACGATTCTTTTTTCGGTTGTTTCATTTGCTTATTTATTGAGGCAGAATCCCCCTGTTGTCCACAGTAGTCTTCAACTCTTGGGCCCAAGAGATCCTCCCACCTCAGCCTCCCGAAAAGCTGGGACTATAGGCAAGCGCGCCGCTATGCCTGGCTGCCTCTACAAATCTTAGGTGTTCTAAGATGATTCTTCTTTTGCTTAGTTCGTTCCTTCCTTTTTCCGGAACCAGGGATTGAACTCAGAATCTTGTGCTTATGAGGCAGGAACAGCACCACTGAGCTAAATCCCCGGCTTTGATATTATTCTTTAACCCCCAAACTTAGTTTCGTTTTGTCGCCTGTCGGTTTTAATGGGAATAACCACGTTAGCGAGTGGGTATCCTGTGGGTGAACTTAGAGCACGCACCGGAGTTTCTCTTAGGCCCTCTTCAGCCCCACCCTAGTTAGCCACTTGACTGACCCAGACCACCAGGATGTCCGGACTCCTGACCTTGGGTTTGACTGTCTCACTGAGTTGCCCAAACCCAGGAGCTTGATTATAGGTGTGTGGCCCTGTGCCTGGGGAAGAGACCTCTCGAGGGGTGGAGTGGGCCAATTTATGTCACTGACCTTGGGCAGTTCCGGGAAGCGCAGCCAAGTCAGGATCAGAGGTGGCGAGAGATGTGGTTTAGGAAGGAGCACGTGTGCTCTGGAAGTTGAGTCCCTTAAAACTGCCCACAGCCCCTCGCAAGTCAGCACATACTCAGGGATATGCAAACCACATGCAGGAGCGTGAGTTTGGTGTCCTCCAGCCTCTGGCAGGTGCATGTCCAGTCCTGCACCCGAGCTGCACCCTTCTGCCTGGCCCATGGGCAGGGAGGGAAGTCAGATCACTTCCGGATCTCTAAGTTTAGGGCTGTAAAATGGGAGCCAAAGGGCCAGGGATTTAGCTCAGTGGCGCCATGCCTGCCGGGCAAGCGCAAGGTCCTGAGTTCAATCTTCAGTACGGGGGTGGGGTGGGGTGGGGATCTGAATATTCAAGACCTAATCATTGTAAAGAAGCAGCCTAGACTAGATTCAGAATTAAGAAAACATTTTTATTCTTTCCATTTCGCAGAAGCGCCATCCTTGCCTACTGAAGGGTCGCAGATGTAGGCCACCAGGTGGCAGCAGGGAGCACATGCTGCTGGCCCTGTCCAGTGTCCCAGGTCCCAGGGATGGGGAGGAGGAAGTGGAGGAAGGTGACTGGGTGAGGTAGGAGTGTGCACTGACTTCAGAGAAAAAAAGGAAGGGGAATGTGCAGGCTAAATGTGCATCCCAGGAGGGGACAAAATACCGAGGACACCGAGTTCAGAATAAAATTGAGGGATGAAAGGAATAGAGTTCAGCAAGATTGAACAGTGTAAAAGAACGCGGAAGGGTAGGGACAGGCCTGGCTGCACTCTGCCAGGAGGCCCGAGTCACCTGGGGATCCCCACTATCTGTGTTCTTCCCGGGGCGGGTCAAGGTCCGGTTCCTCACGGGGCTCGTGGTCCACCTCGGGGGCAGGTGGCCAGGGGTTTTCTGGGGGCTGGGGTCCTGCCGGCCAAGGGTCATCAGGCCGGGGAGGCTGGGGGGGATCCGTGCTAGGGGGCTCAGGGGGCCACACTCCACCGTCAGGCAGGTCTCCCCAGGGATGGCCGGGGCCTGCAGGGGGAGGATCCTCGAAGAGAGGCGGTGCCCCCGGCCAGGGCTCGCCAGGGATCGGAGGGCCGAGAGGCAAAGGTGGGAGGCTCTCCTCCTCTCTGGTCTCTGTGGGGGACGGTGGGGAGCGACCCTCACTGCCCGAGATGCCTGTAGAGGAGGAACAATGGTGAGAGGAGAGCCGGGCGTGGTGACGCACGCCCGCGATCCCAGCCCTCGGAGGCAGGGGCAGGAGGATCCTCGTGAGTTTGAGGCCAGTGAGTTCAAGGATAGCCTGCACTACAAAGTGAGACCGTCTCAAAGGTCACACAAACAGAACGGTAAGAGGTGGTGAGGGCCAATCTCCCCCACCCGGGCTGCAGGACAGGAGGCGGAGCCTCTGGGGCAGACACAGACTGGCTTCCTCCCCTGTAAAGGCTCTCACTCTGCAGACACCAAGTTCCAAAGCCAGCTCACAGTGCAGCAGCTGCTCTGGGCAGATCTCGACCAGTGCTCACCACCTCTGTGTGCCGGGACCCCTCTCCCCGAGGAGCTCACCGCCTGCCAGACGCCCCGCTGGCCTGGCCCTGGCCTGCTCTGCACCCGAGTGGTCTACAGCTTGGCCCAGGAGGCACCCGACCGACCCGTGCCGCGGCCCCGCTGTCCGTAACACAGACCCCGGCACCAGTGAGTACCTGTTCCACGCAGCTGGGCTCTGCGAGTGCCACGGGCTTCTTCACTCACCAGCACCCTTACTCCGAGCGAGGCCTGCGTGCGCTCTCCCCTCATCCCTTCCACCGGGTGTGGCTGCCCAGCGAACCCCTTGCCTCCTAATGGTCACCTTTGCCAAGGGTGGGGCCCCACGTCCACCCCTGGCACCATCCACTCACCTCCGACAAACAGGCAAAGGACCAGGACCCCCGGGAGCGCCCGGCTGAGCTTCATGGCTCTCTGACCCCGAAGACGGGGTGCTGAGTCTGGGCACCTGGGATCCCCAAGAGCCTTTATAGGGGAGGAAGCCAGTCTGGGAGGCCCGCCCAGCAATCCAGGAAATCCCAACAGCGCCCAACTGGTCAGACCCGTCTGAAGGCCTGGCCCACATGAGCTTTGGCGCGTCCCTTAGCCCCCAACCCCTCCCGATCAGTGACCCTGGGTCACCATACCCTGCAGGGACGGATACCCACCTGTCATCTGCACCGTCACAGGGCCCTGCACCTTTCCTCCCTGGTAGCTATGGAAACCAGAGCACGGGTGCAGACCTGGCCCAAGGCGGCGTGGGGAAGCTCAGTAATGACAGTAATGACAGGGGGGCGCGACGCGGGCAGTGGGGCCCCAAGACCTGCTGGGCCGCCCCTCACCTGTGTCTCAGGGGCCTCCTCCCCCTCCCAGGCCCACGCAGTGACATCGTGGAATTCCACGGGGAGCCACACAAGGATGGGGCAGAGGATGAGGATATTCTGGCCTCTCCGTGCCCACGGCTGGTCCATCAGCCTCAGCCAGAGGCTCCGGAAGCTGCCCCTTCCTCCTCCTCGCTCAGGGTTCCTGTGCCCCTCACCCTGCCCGGATCCTCAGCTCTAGCGCCTTCTGCCCCACCCCACCACTCCAGGCCTTGGCTGTCTCCGGTCCTCCTGGAGCTTGGCAGTGTCCACAGCACCACCCCGATTCCTCCCAGCGGGGCTGCTCAGGGCCCGCCCCACCCGCCTGCAGCTGTCGGACCTCCCTCCCCAGCCTGGCTCCCCTTCCCACGCTCCTGCCCACACATAGCCCCGGGAACTCAGAAATGAAAGCCAGTCCAGTGGTGCCGTAATCACAGCAGCCTGAGCGCCTAGCGCTTTCCAGTTCCGCAAACATACGGCAGGCAGCTGTTTGAAAGCTCTAAGAGGCTCACCATCACTGGCGTAGACTTTATAGCAAGACCTTGTCTTTAAAATATAAAAATAGGGGCCAGAGATTTAGCTCAGTGGTTCCGCCACCTACCTTGCAGGTGCAAGGTCCTGAGTTCGATCCCCACACCCAAAATAAATAAATAAAAATAAAAAACAGGCTGGATGTGACGGTGCACACCTGTAATCCCAGCATTCAGGAGGCCGAGGCAGGATTGCCAGGAGCTCCCAGCCTGGACTGCAAGTGAGACCCTATCTCAAAGAACCAATAAATGAATAACCTAAAACAAAGTACCACAGTTCTAAAAACACACCAAGGGCTTTCTGTTGACTTAGAATAAAATCCAAACTCCTTGCCAGCACGAGTCCCCCCCAGCAGCCTTCATCCTGTCCCCCTGGCTTCAGGTCTCAGAACAAGGGCCTGGATCCCCAGGAGGACTGGGGAGCCCTCTAGTGTCCCCTCCTTAGGCTGCCCCTCTCAAGGTCCCTGTCATCTGTACCTCACTTCTCTTCCTAGCATTTGTTGGTTGTGCTTCTTTGTCCTGAGGTCTTTACAAATTCTTTTGAGACAGGGTCTTGCTATGTAGCCCAGGCTGGCCTGGAACCCACTCACGGTGATCCTCCTGCCTCAGCCTCCCAAGGGCTAGGATCACAGGTGTGAGCCAGCACACCAAGCTGCCCTGAAGTTCTTGTCTCTACATCTCCTGGCAAGGTCACCACTAGACAGTGCCAGCCCAGTCCTGCTGAACGAGTGAATGTTTTCCTTCTCTCGTGACATCTACCATGTTCCAGAGAAAACGAGTTTATGCGTTTACTTGGTACTGGACACTGACCCCACGGCCTCAGCACTGAGCTACACACCTAGCTAGCCCTTGTGTTTTTTGAGAGGCTCACTACGTAGCCCAATCTGGTCTTGAACTTCCCATCCTCCTGCCTCAGCCTCTTGGAGTCCTGGGATGGGAAGCATGCACCACACCTGGTTAGAAAGCTTTAAAGCAAAAGGTGAGAATAAAGAAAAACAAGTTTCTTGAGTCATCTCCAGCGGGGACTGGGAAAAGGGACCACTGGGGAAAGGGCTCTGGGGGACACTTCACACGCCCCAGAGTCCTGCTCACTCACTGCGGGAAGTTCACACCCACCCCAGGCAGCTTTTCCAAGCCCACTGCAGTCTCTTTATTAGAGCAGAACTCAGACAGGGGAGCTGGCATCATGATGTGCCAGGGTCAGGCAGGGTTCCCCACCCGAGGGTCCAGTCCTCGCTGTTGGACTCAGCCCCAGGCCACCTCCCTGGCTCCGAGCGGCCACTCAGCTGTGGACCGGAGCTGGAGAGCCCTGGCTGTCTCCTTGGCAAACAGCTTCTTCCTTAGCGATGGCCTCACTCAGGCCCTGCAGGTTGCCCAGCAGCACAGAGAGGGATCCTGGAGAGGAGACAGGCGATGGGCCCAGCAGGGCGGAAGGGCCGGGAGGCAGGGTCTGAGGGAGTGGGCTCCCGGGGTGTCACCGCCCCTCCCCGTGCTCAGCCGTCACCTCTTCTGGGATTCCCGGTGGACGGGGCCGGAAGTACAGGTGCCTCGGACCCCGGAGGCCTGGAGCTTGACTTTGCGGACTTCTCCTCGTCCAGCAGGGAGGGGAGAACTGCCAGCAGTCGCTGCTGCTTGTAATGGGAGAGGAGACCCTCCTGCTGCAAGGTGGCCTGGGAAGGAGAGGGTGGAACGCCACCGCACCCCAGCAGAGCCTTCCCCCTTTCCACGCCTTCACTCATCCATCCGCCAGCGGCCCCGTCGTCCCCACCAGCATGAGGTTCTTGTCCCTCTCCAGCTCCTGCAAGCGCCGGCTCAGCCGCTGCCCCTCCTCCTTCCGGGCCTCCTCCTGCAGCCGCCTGAGCTCCTGGTTCCGCTCCTTTTCCCGGGCGGCTGAGCGCTGGATCTGGCGCAGGGAGACCACTGTGGAGAAGCCGGCACGGTGGGTGCGGTCAGCCAGGCGCGAGGCCCCGGTCCCCTGCCGGGAAGGGAGGCTCTCTGCTCCGCAGGGTCTCCTCCCCGCAGCGGGCAGCTGAGCAGCTCCTCCCCACGCACCCGCAGCTTCACAGCCA